GTGGTGCCCTTTGGCCACCCTACACTGATAACATAACTCAAAAGGAAATTATTAAGAAAGGGAATAAGAAAATAGCAACTTCATGTAGCAAGGAAAAGAAAGCTATTTTTTAAAGTATTTATTCATCATGTTAAACATTTTTGATGCTTTTTCTCAGTTCACAAACCCTTGTGATATATAATAGTTAATGGTATTATTACCATTTTCTAGATGAGAAAACTCAGGCATAAGAAGGTTAAGTTAATTAGGCAAGGTCAAGCTAGTAAATATGGAGCTATTGATCAAGAGGTAGAGATGGAAGTAAAAGAGGAAATACTGACAAAAGTGGAGAGCATTTAGGACCTGTGATTCAAAGATAGAAAATTGTGGTGTTGTTAAGGAAAAGGAGATTGGTTGAAAGATGGGAAACAGAAAATAAAGAGCAATGAGAACACAAACACAAGACATTCTGAAATGAATGTTCATCTACAAATAAGATGTATGTAAGTACATGACAGTTATAATTAGGTTCAAAATTTGCATAATAAATAATGCATGTCCTCTTTCCCCTAGGCAGATTAGCTGATCCCACCCGCAGGACAAACTGTGGCTATGCATCTGGAGATGACTTGTGCATCTCTGTAAATAGTTGGTGGGCTGGTAAGTTTACTTAATTTGCAAATCTTACAAAACTGGTACTATTCCCTTTTAGCAACAAAAGCTGTAGTACTGCTTTTAAACAAGGAATATACTTCATCGGGTGGCCTTTATGTCACCTTATAAAATTTAACAGGTACATGTTAATAATGATTCCTTAGAACAGGGGCCCCCAAACCCCCAGCCACAGATTACTACCGGTCTGTGGTCTATAAGGAATTGGACTGCACAGCAGCAGGTGATGGCAGGCCAGCAAATGAATCTTCATCAGTATCTACAGCTGCTCCCCATTGCTCCCATTACCACCTGAGAGCCACTACCCGTCAGATCAGCAGTCGCATTCCATTGTCATAGGAGCATGAACTCTGTTGTGAACTGTACATGCAAGGAATAATGGCTTGTGTGCTCCTTATGAGAATCTAATGCCCTATGATCTGAGGTGGAGCTGATGTGATGTTAGGAGTGGGGCACAGTTGCAAATACTGCATTATGGTGAGTTGTATGATTATTTCATGATATATTACAATGTAATAATAACATAAATATACTGCACAATAAATGAAATGCTCCTGAATCATCCTGAAACCACCCCCACCCCCCAGCCTCTACCCACCCAGTCTGTGAAAAAATTGTCTTCCATGACACTAGTTCCTGGTGCCAAAAATGTTGGAGGCTACTGCCTTAGAACATATCCAGTGGTTTACAGAGGGACTAAAACCAAGAACTGCAAGTAACAGCCCCTGAGGGATTTGTATAGGCAGTTAGTAAGTATGTGGGAGGTCCCACTGGTGACAAGGAGTCTCTGGAATGGGGAAGGATATGTGAGTGGCCAGGAAATAATGTCTTTTTTCACTTTGCTGAGACCAAATATCTTTAATATTGAAGCCCATAAATGTGTCAGATATTAATACCTATTTCGATTTTATCAATCAGTAACCTTAGTAATCTAATCTCTCAATGAAAGATTTTGTAACGTTCTGTGAACAAGTTGATCACTTTCTTCCTTTTTACTTAATGCTTTGTAAAATGAATATTGCCAAAGATATTAAAATCACTTTTTATTAAAACATATTGTAGTCAAATACTTTAAACAACAAATATTCAAGAGTATAGGATTATTAATACCAGTTTGTTGAAGTTGAATACCTATGAACTATTGGGGGATTTCTGTTCAGTACTTTTTTTCTTAATGTCTAACATTATGTGTTTCTGGATTTGTCAGTTTTTCTTTAATGAAGTATGGCTTCTTTAATAGTATCATGTCCTCTTTAACATTTGTTTGCACTTGTGGTAATAAGTCTTTCTGTTCTCACAGATTTAAATTATTTTCTGTGTGCGTTGCCCTTCCTTGCTGCGATTGATTCTGGCATAATGGGGGTATCCCCAAATGAAGTCCTGCTTTTGCCACCACCCACGGACCAGATGAAGTTTTGTTATGATGTTTCTAGCTGTCGTTCTGCCTTCCTTGTGACAATGAACAAGTGGAATGCTTTTTACAAGGTTCCTCCTTTAAGTTTCATAGAAGATGGCAAGATAATTTCTTTGTCGTATAATATTTTTGTACATTGTACAATATTTTCCTTAGTATGTCAAAGTAAATTGTGGTGGAATATATAGTAACAATGTAAGTTGTAATAGGGAGTATGTGTCATTAATACTTCCTGACTATATCTAGCATTAACACAAAATCTATCTATACTTCTTATCTCAGATCAATTTACACAAATGATTAACATACAAGATACCTTGCTGAATGGTAAACAGCCTATTCTAGTTAACTGAAACTGTAAGTCTGTTGTGGGATCTTAGAAAAAAATGTGATTCTGGGATTGGTTTTTAAAGACTTATCACCTGAGCAGGTGACATGGTGGTTAAGGCACTGGATTCCCACATGGCCAACCACAGTTTAAGTCTTGAACCCTGCGGCTTGAAAATCATGCTGGGTGCGTGTGTGTGCCCACAATCCCAAGAGCAGAACAAAGGAAAAGAGATTGTGGTGTAGCCAGCCCCCAGGTGTGTGTGAGGGGGGTGATTGCTCACTTCTCTTTGTCACTCTCTGAGTGCTCATGCCCTATGGGGGGGAAAAAAAACCACAACAAAAAACAAAAACAACATGTCACCTTATTTTAACTGAATTCACACGTGACCCCCAATAAATAGAACTAAATAAGCATGTGTTTTTCAAAACCAAATATTCAATAACCAAACTAAAATACATTGGTTAAACACAGACATAGACTAAAATCAATGATGAAAAGAGATTTTTTTGAGAGGTTTTTCCTATAGGACATGTGTCAGAGAGAGAGAGACAGAAAGCGAAAAATCACCCCCCAGGAGGGATAGCAACTCCACAATCCCTTCTCCTCTATTCTCCTCTCAGGATCTTGGGCATGCATGCACACACGCCTGGCATGAGTTTATACCACCGGGTCCAGTACTCGAACTATGGTCAACTACAGGGGAGTCCAGCCATTATGCCATCTGTTGGTCCCGAAAAGATAGATTTACTAGTTTTTCAGACCATTAATGAATTACATCAGATAGAATTAAATAAAATAGTTGTTATAATTTTTTTCTTCTTCTCACGCTTAGATTTTATGGTAATTTTAACAATGTTAGTAGGAAAAAATGACGAACAAAAGTTACATTTCTTGACCAATATTAAATAGGGACTTTCTGAATATACTTGAAGTAATTTTTTCTGGGTGTATGTCCTGTTGCTAAATATAATGAATATTTTTTGTGTCTTTTGACAGAATGTTAGGCATTATATTCTAATACATATTCTTAGAAACAAAGCTCTCCTTTTATGTAGAATGTTGCAAGGAGAGGAATCATTATAGTTGCTCAAATATTAATCAGTTTCTCTTCCTTATTTTAGTATTTGCAATCACCTTCTAGCAACTTTGATGACCTGTTGAAGTACTTGTGGGATGCACACACCTCAACCTTGGACAGTACAGAGAAAAGTTTTGAAGATAGGTAATAGTAGATCCAAAGTTATCTCTGTTTACTCTGCTACATGAGTTTTGGTCATGTTTATACATTTTTTTCTTCTAGAGTGCTTTTCAGTTTTAATATTAAAAATATTCACTGGGGATAGAGGTATAATTGCTTGTTGTAATGAGGTGTAATTGTTTTTAGCATGATCAAGCTTAACATGTACTTTATGAACAGGGAGATAAGTCTAAAGAAAGAAGTCTTACATCAAATAATAGGCAAACAACATACATTGAATTTCTCTAAGTGCAGGAAATAAAACTAAAAATAAACACATAGATGACTTTCATGGTTTTGCTTACATAATACAGTGGCACATATTTGGGGAAAAAACCAGCTAGCATCAGGGTTAGCACACAAGATAGCAGAGCAGATTATCAGGCTACTCCACCCCCCACTACACTTAGAAGTGAAGGTGTAAGGATGATTTGTGTTCAGAAGTGAATGACACTTTCCAGGGAGTGAAATAGATTACCCACAGTGAGGAATGAGATATAAATCTGGGTAGAACAAAACATGGAAACAAAGAAAAGTGGACTCATTGGTAGTGTACGTGGTCATAGAAATCAGGCAGGAATATCTGAGTACTTCCTAATCCTCTCACTGTTATTTCTCCTATAGTCTCCACCATCCAGTAAGAGAAATACCTTGGTTAGCCAATTCCCAGGGCATTTTCTCCTGCTGAGTAGTTCAACAATCAAGAGTTAAATTGGGGAGTGGAGGAGTTTATACTCTTGGCAGTGTCTCAGATGTAATTTGGGGTTGCAGCCATAACAAGAGCTAGGACTCAGCTACTCTTTCTATTTTGATGACAAGGATAAGGTTCTCAGACACAGATCTTAGTGGAGATGGTTAACCTCAATATTTTGACTGACAGCAATAGATTACATTTTATTTATGTTCACATCAAAAAGTAAATCAATAGAAAAATACAACTTGGTACATAGGAAACGTAAGAGTCTTTTAAATAGCTAGCAATCATAGAAACTGTAATTTTTTTTAAGTAAATGGATTTCTTTCTTCTTACAGATTTAGACATCCAAGCTTATTGTATTTATTATTTTTTGTACACTCTAATTACTTAAAAAAAATAATATCTTTAACAGGTCAGATTTATTTAAGAATGACTCCCAAATCAATCAATAAAATTTTGGGTGGATAAGTTTAAATTTTCATATGACTATTTTGATCACAAGGATATAAACTGAAAAAAAATCTATTTTATTAGGTATTAGATTTCCCATCCTCACTAACTATAACAATTTTTTTTTAGAGAGATTTTTGCTATAGAGTGCATGCACTCACCAGAGAGACAGAGACAGAAAGTGAGAAATCATTTCTTCCTTCCCCCAGGGGGAATGGCCACGCTGCAATCCCCTTCTCCTCTATGCACCCGTGGGATTTGGGGCACGCACACACACATGCCCAGCGTGAGTTTCAAGCCATCAGGTCCATGACTCAAATCATAGTCGACTGTGTGAAGAGTCCAGCAATATAACCGTTATGCCATCTGCTTGTCCCATAACAATTTTTTTTTTTAACATCAGGGGGCATGTGCATGTTCATGAGAAAAAGAAAGAAAGAGTGAAGGACAAAGCACTCCTCAATGGGCCCAGATCACACTACGATCCTTTTTCCTCCAACTCTCCATCACATCAGGATTCTGAGCTCATGTGCACACATGAGATTTTTTTCAAGCCAAAGGTCTGGGACTCAAACCCTGGTTGATCATGTGGGATCCAACTTCCTGTACACAGTGCCTAATAGCTGCACAACAGGGTGGCCCACAAAAATTGTTTTTGATTAGCATGTTTTATTTCCTAAACTGCTCTTTTTTGCTTTCTTTTCAAAAAAGATTATTGGGACCAGCAGATGTCATAATGGTTATATCACTGGACCCCCATGTGGCCAGCCATAGTTTGAGTCCTGAACCTGATGGCTTGAATCTCATGCTGGGTGTGTGTGCACACATGCCCAAAATTTTGAGAAATGAATGGAGGAGAAGGGATTGCAGTGTGGCCATCCCTCCTGGGGGGGTGATTTCTTGTTTCCTTTCTCTCTGTCTCTGTCTGTCTCTCCTTGTCTCTCTGGTAAACACACACCTTACAGCAAAAATTTCTCTTAAAAATAATTATTTTTATTTATTGTTATTATTTTTAATTTTTGATGAGAGAGAGAGAGAGCACAAGAAAGTGAGAAAGCAAGCTGCCAGGTCCAGGACTCAAACTGTGATTGGCCATGTAGGAGTCCAATGCCTTAACCATCACACCACCTACAGCTCCATGAACTTCTCTTTCTAATTTGTTCTTCCCTTTAGGTGTCAACAAATGTTCCTCCAAATAGAATTTTTTAAAAAGCTACCACTTGTTAAGTAAAAGAAGAATTAAGAGCACTTACATATTAAGAACCAACAAAATATACTGAACGCTTTCATATATTATGCTTCACTTCAGTATAATTTCGTTTCAAAAATAGTAAATCTGTGCCGTTCAGTAATATGCTAAGAGTCTTATAGCTAGTGAATGGCAGAACTAGTATTCACATTCCTTGTGTATCCGCAGCCCATCCTCTTACCCTGTGTGTTGTACTCCTTGGACTGCATGGGGCTTGCAAACCACATTGCAAGGGTCAATATTTACTAAGAGCTTCATCTTCTCAAAAGCTGTACTGAGAAATAAAACCATGCTTGAACATTTGTAAGGCACAATGAAGTAGAAACAAATGAAATAGAAATAAGGCACTTATATATGTACCCCCTTTTACGAAGAAACTTTCTTTTTTTGAACTTTCTGAATGTATTTTAATCTCATTCCAAACAGAAATAAAATTTCTAGATACAAATGCATCTCATTCAAATAAGTTTTTTAAAAATTTGTTTTATATATTCAATCACTATACATCACTACAGTTTGTAAAGTAAATTTACCCAATGTAAATACACTTCACACCAGTCCAGTTGACGATACCATACACATTATCGTCAACAGATAATCTTCCAGATTTTGAAAAAACTGATCAGTACTGATAAATATCTTTAGACTATCCAGTCCTGGGAAGAGATAAACCACAGTTCCAATCATTTATCTAAACCAAATGCCCTTTGGCACCCCTTCCCCTCCCTGTGTTAACAAGACCTACTTGACCCACCTGTCAGTGCAGTGGATAGACAGTCTATCAAGTCTTCCTGCAGGTACTGCTATGTCTACCACAGGAGCTTAATATAAACATTTTCTTTTTTATATTGAACTCAGGTGTGATTTTTATTTTTAATTATTTTTGTTTGTATATTAAATACTTTTTACATGCTATGTCTAAAAAGTCATGATTTTGACATCCTTCATCCCTCAACAAAAAACAAAAACATAAAGCCCTATCTGTATCTAGTGTAGTATCTTCCACTGTCACTACCTGTTCATGAATATTTGTGTATTTGCCATGATATTTTTAAAACACAGTCTTGTAACACTTATTACTAAATTTTCAATGTTAAGTATTATCCTTTGAATCACCACTGAGGAAAATTACAGTTTAGCCCACCACTTTCTTACTAATCATACTCTAGTCTTTGTGTTCAGCAATGTTGATGATGTTGACATTCAGGCCCTAGTGTGACTCTGGCTATAATTACTACTCACATCTGGGGCAAGTACTTAAGCTGATTACTTTTGCTTTTCTTCATCTTATTCCCAATAGAGTTGAACATTGTCTTGTGTATTGCTTTTCTTAGTTTTCCATGACTATAACATGAATGTACCTCAAATTGGTAAGCCAGGGAACTGTCTTCTCAAGTCAATCAAAATGTAAAGAATGATATCCTTAACGTCATAGTTTGCAGAGCTCTGTTCTAGCGTTATTACATATGCTGGCCTGCCAGGTAGCCAGATATGAGCCTGTGCTTTCTCTTCCCTACCACATGGGGATTCTCCTGGTCTCTCCGTATTACAGCTCCCATTTCCATATTCCATATCTCCATATCTCCATTTCTTTCTTTCTTTTTTCTTTCTTTCCAGTTTAGCCCACCACTTTCTTACTAATCATACTCTAGTCTTTGTGTTCAGCAATGTTGATGATGTTGACATTCAGGCCCTAGTGTGACTCTGGCTATAATTACTACTCACATCTGGGGCAAGTACTTAAGCTGATTACTTTTGCTTTTCTTCATCTTATTCCCAATAGAGTTGAACATTGTCTTGTGTATTGCTTTTCTTAGTTTTCCATGACTATAACATGAATGTACCTCAAATTGGTAAGCCAGGGAACTGTCTTCTCAAGTCAATCAAAATGTAAAGAATGATATCCTTAACGTCATAGTTTGCAGAGCTCTGTTCTAGCGTTATTACATATGCTGGCCTGCCAGGTAGCCAGATATGAGCCTGTGCTTTCTCTTCCCTACCACATGGGGATTCTCCTGGTCTCTCCGTATTACAGCTCCCATTTCCATATTCCATATCTCCATATCTCCATTTCTTTCTTTCTTTTTTCTTTCTTTCTTTTTTTTTTTTCTGGTACTTTGATTTGGGAAGACACAGCCTGCAGTAGATTCTGAACAGGTTTATCATAGGTAATAAAGTTTGAGACTGTACATCTTAATTAATCTTTATTCTACTGCTATTCTTGACTGAGACTTTAGGTAGGTACAGGAATCTAGGCTAGTAATTTTTAGAATTTTGAAGTATTTTCTTTATTATTATTATTGTTAACTTTTGCATCTCTTTTGCTGTTTAGAAGTCTGATTTCTGGTCCATTGGATATAACCTGTTTATCTGATTATTTTATTCTGCTTGTCATTTTGTTTCGGTCTCTTATTCATGTCAGAGAATTTCTGTAGGTATCTGGTAATACTTTGATGTCTCCTCATATTTGAAGAGAAGCACCTAAAAGGTCTGGGTGCTTCAGAGGGATTTTTCTACTATAAACACATTTCCAGGGTGATCTTGCTGGGTTTTTGAACTAGGTAATCCTTTAACCACTGACACTATATGCCAATAACTGTTTTTTTTTTTTTTTTTGTTTTTTTTTTTTTTTTTTTGTTTGTTTTTTAGGTTTTTGCCATAAAGCACGTGCACCCACTGGTGAGAGACAGAGAGACACAGAAAGAATGAAAGTAAGAAGTTCCTTCTCCTCAAAGGACTGATGGCTGCATGGCAGTCCCTTCATCTCCATTCTCCTCCCTAGATTTTGAGCATGGGTATACTTGAATCCAGTGTGATTTTCAAGTCATTGGGTCTGGGACTTGAACTGCAGTCAACCATGTAGGTGTCCAGACCCTTAGCCCACCTGCCACCTGCTGATGACAATAACCTTTATAGTTTTTCCTCCTGATTTCAACTAGTTCTCCAGAAGAGGCCGTTTCAGTCACTTGCTTAAAAAATGAAGGTCTGGTTGCTAATATTTTTAAGGTCAAGAAAAGCAAGGGGACCAGCAGATGGCATAATGTTATTGGACTCCCATGTAGTTGACCATGGTTTGAGTCCCAGACCTGGTGGCTTCAGACTCACACTGGGCATGTGTGTATGCCTGCCAAGAGGAGATCCCAAGAGGAGAATGGAGGAGAAGGGAATGTGGCATGGCCAATCTCACAGGGGCAGGGGATGATTTCTCGCTTTCTGTCTCTGTCTTCTGTGTTTCTCTAGTGAGCACACGCACCTTGTAGCAAAAATCTCTTTCTAGAAAAAAAAAAAGGCAAAGGAGTGTAAGTCTTGGTAGCCAATATAATATACTCACATCCCATTGTTTACAAGGTGGTATCTCTACCTTCAATCACAATCTGGTCTCAGTTCAGGGATTCTGTGCTCTATACTCTTCAGTATCAGGAACTGACAGTTACTCTATTGGAAGTCTGGGGGGAAATCTTTATAGATGACTTTGATTACCTTGCTTTTAGCAATCTTCCTTCACCTAGAAAATATTATTCACTTTTAAATTAGGATTAATTCCACAAGTCATATCACCAATATTTCAGTTTTCCTATCTGGTTATTTAATTTTCTTGAGTCTATGCAATCTTTTTGGTTAGCTCTTTTTGATTTCTATCCTCTAAAAGTTTGTTGTTTCCCTCTGTTTTCTGAGTGAATTTATTCTGATTAACATTTTAATCAGATTTTGATAGATTGCAAAAGTAGATCTGTTAAAGTCAGCAGTTTTACTAAAAAAAAGAAAAGCTTTATCCTAAAAAGTCACTTCCATTCTTTCTGTAATTGGGATCACCTCAGTATACTATAGTTGTAACATAAATACATTTATATATAGATTTGCTATTAATAAAGTTTAAAACTATATATTTTCTACTAACCCGTCTCGCTGGAAAGTTCCATTATAGTGTCTCAGGCAGTTAAATCCTTCTGCAGCCCTATATTAATGAAAGGTAAATATTTTAATGACTATTATTATGGAAGTGTCAAATGCCTGTTTTTATACCCTCTCATATGTTAATCTGCATATTTATGAAGGCTCTGGTTTATTAAGTTTCTAAATTCATGCTAGGGGAGTCTAGTCTATTAATTAATCCGTGAGATAAAGTAATAATGTGCAAATTGTGGTCTATTGCTTTAAAGTCCCACAGAAATGACTTCATTTATTTGTTTGCAAATTTTTTGCTATGTAACATGTGCTATTCCCAGAGCGAGACAGAGAGAGAGAGAAAGTGAGAAAGCACCTTCCAGGGGGATGACCATGCCAGAATCCCTTCTCTTCTACTGTCTTCATGAGATTTTGGTCACACATATAATTGGTGTCTTTTTCAAGCTGCTGGATCTAGGACTCAAATCACACAGCTGCCTTAACTATCATGCTATCTGGCTGGCTCAGATCTGACTTCTAAATGCTGATTCTGCTTGATCTGGGAATCCAAACAATGATAAACTCTCTTTTCTCATTTTAAAAATAACAGTAAAAGCCACATAAGGTAATTTTGGAGGCTAATTTAAAAATTCAAGCATCATATTTAACACACTACTGGCACATGAGAGATACTCAATATAAAGAAACTATTATTGCCATGACAACAGGCAGTAGAGGGCGGTAGTAAAGAATACAAAATTTTTTTTTTTTGGGAGAGATTTTCACTGTAGGGCACGTGCGCTCGCCAGACAGACAGAGAGAGACATAGAGACAGAAAGCGAGAAATCACCCCCCAGGGGGGATGGTCACGCCGCAATCCATTCTCCTCCATTCTCCTCTCGGGATCTTGGGCACGCACGCACACGCGCCCGAAGAATACAAATTTTAAAGACAGATGGCTGGGGTTTAGAACCTGACTATGTAATAACTAGGTGTGTGGTCTTGCATTTAGCTAGTTTTATTCAAAAGAAAACAGCACAAACAATGACCACTAAACCTCAGTGTTGTACGACAGTTAAGTGTTTGTTTCTCACACATCTGGGGTTCGCAGGGCAGTCGTGGCTAACTCACATTGGCTGATTTTTGACCTGCCCCAGCAGGGATAACTGCAAAAACTCACCTCTGCTCCACTTGACTCTTATTCGCTCTTGAGCTAGTCTGAGTGTTTATATAGTGATGGCAGAATTGTCAAGGCGAAAATTATAATTGTATACTTTTCCATTTGTCTTTTAGGTATAGCTACTATTATAAACCAGAAGCTGATTTTGAGAAAACTTGGTTGGTGACTGTGGAATATTTAGCTCCAACTCGCTTCCCTACAACCTTGATTAAAGTTCATGAGTTCCAGGAGGGCCTGCCACCACGAGGCCTTCTTCCTAATGACACTGCCCCTTTCATCAGTGACTTCACTAGTTTTCAGAACTTCTTCCTGTTTGCCCTTAATAGTCTTTACGCTGTGGATAAATATACAGGTAAATATCCTGAAAGAATACATTAAAATTTCAGTATTGTGGGGCCAGTAGGTGGCATGGTGGTTGGGGCACTGGAATCATACTTGGCTTACCAGGGTTCAAGTCCTGGACCTGCTGGTTGGAAGATCATGCCAGGCACACATGCATGTGTGCCCCAAATCCTGAAATGAGCATGAAGGAGAAGGGATTACAGTGTGGGCATCCCCCCTGGATGATTTCTTACTTTCTGTCTCTCTCTATTTCTCTGGTGAACACACATGCCCTATAGCAAATACCTCTCTTTCAAAAAAAATTCAGTATTGTGTTGAACAGATAGAGGAATAAATAACAACAAAAGAGATATAGACATTAGAACACATACTTTACAGAAGAAAGTTACGATTTTCTATGGGTATTGATTCCATTTCATTGGCAAGAATCACTCTTGCTATATTGCAGAACAATTTAATGAGCATATACGATTCTCACACACATAACCTGTCTTTTCATCTGGAATCTATATTGACCCTTGAAGTTGGCAAATCAACTGAAACATTTTTTGTTCCATACACTCACATGTATTTCTTATTTTGTTCATTAGAACACCTAACTTTCTTCTTTGCTCTTAAGTGTAAAGAAACTAAAGGATTTTCAAGAGAAATATGGGATAATATATATACAATTATTAAAATATAATTTATAATTAGTGATTATTAATATATTTTACTTAATAATGCTATTTTTATTTAATTTTTTATTTTAAATTTTATTTTATTAGTGATTAATTTTATTAATCACCAATAATCATCAATAAAAACAAAACTCCAACAACGATTTTCAAAGATGGAAGTCTGTTACTCATTTATCCGAGCTTTCTCAATTCAATGCTAATAGGGATGGAAGAAGTCTTTCACACTAGCACTTCAAAAGCTGAGTTTCCTGGGAACCAGCAGTTAGCATAATGGCTATGTCGCTGGACTCCCACGAAGTCGATCGCTGTTCGCGTCCTGGACCCGGTGGCTTAGAACTCATGCTGGGTGCGTGTGCGTGCGTGCCCAAGATCCCGAGAAGAGAATGGAGGAGAAGGGATTGAGGTGTGACCATCCTCCCTGGGGGGTGATTTCTCGTTTTCTGTCTCTCTCTGTCTGTCTGGCGAGCACACGCGCCCTATAGCAAAAGCCTCTCCAAAAAAAAAAAAAAAAAATGCTGAGTTTCCTAATGAAGTGAACAACAGGTGATTCTATAATTTGAAAATTACCGTGTCATCCCCATTTTCCAGATATCCTTTGAAGCATTGAGTCAAACCCAAAACATAGTTATACTACTAATGTTTTTCAAAGCAAAAATTTTGAATTAAAAGATATAAATGAAGCAAAGTAAACATGAATAAGTTAAGTATATGCTGTTAAAAAGTTTTGCATAGTAAGTTATAAAAATATTCAAAAGTTGCAAGGCCTTCATGTGATTGGGGTTTCATCTTATTCCAGTAATGGTTTAATTGTGGTGTGCTTGGTCAGTAGAGACCATTCCTTCATGCAATGAGTAACAGACTTACTTCAGTCTTGGGAAATATTGGAATATTTTCCCCCCAGAAAGCGAGTTGCCAACTCATTATGTTTAATATGCATGTATAGTCTTTCATTTGGTGAATTTACCATAATTATGGGCATTAGTAACTCATTATGGTCATTACTAATTGTATGATATTGCCAACAATACAACAATGGCATTTCTTATATACTTTTCTTGCATAATTAATTTTACCAATACATTTAAAATCAGTGAGTCAGATATTGCCAAATAGTATTACCAATAATGTAATAATGACATGCCATGTTTACTTTTCTTGTGATAGTTAATCATTTTTACCATTAAATTCATAGAAAGGAAATGAAAAAAATTAAAGAGTCATTTATTGCCAAATAACACTGAAACAAGTTTGTGGGAATTCACACGTAATAATTTTGTATCTTTTACAGGTTCATTATCTTTGACTGTATGGAAAACTTTAATGAAGTCAGAAATTACGAGAAAGGAAACTTTACAAGTTTTTTACAAATTTGTTGAAATATTTAATTCAATACCTGCGAAATGATTAATAAAAAATGAACAATTCTAACTTGATGACAACCAGTACTTTCACAAAGTTAATGTGACTGTAATCATATAACTTTATTGTTTCTGGTGTGTTTCACTTATGTTAGGATTTTGCCCATGCATTCCTAAGTTCAAATTAATACTGTGATTATTTTACTTAACTAATAATCATTTCTTTGAATTAATAAATTATTAAAATTATTAGAATCTAAAGGAGATTGTATTAAAATACAAAAGAAAAGATACTGAGAAATTAATAAATATATTAAACTTGTATGGTTCTTTTGTTATGTAATTTTATGAAATGTAAAGCAATATCTCATGCTTATTTATAACTAAAATCCAGAACATTTGAAGTAAACTACTGACATTATTTTATTTTATTTATTTATTTGTTTGTTTGTAGAGAGGTTTTTGCTATAGTGCATGTGAGCTTGCCAGAGAAACAGAGAGACAGAGAGAGAGAAAGAGAGAAATCACCTCCATTCTCCTCTCGGGATCTTGGGCACGCACACACATGCACCCGGCAGGAGTTTTAAGCCACTGAGTCCGGGACGTGAACTGTGGTCGACTACATGGGAGTCCAGCAACTTAGCCATTACGCTAACTGCTAGTCCCCTGACATTATTTTAGTTACTAACTCTCTAAATTTGGGTATGTCTGCTGACCAGACAGTTAATAATAGAGTTATCCTGCTTTGGTCAACACTTGATAATGAATACGTCAGGGTCAAATTTGCCATGATTATTTCCTTTTAGGAGAGAGAATGCGCTGGTCAGAAGTGGGGATTTCTAGTGGTAACATGAAACTTGTATAGGAAGGTTTATCCAGAGCTTCATCCACAGACTAAGTCCACCCACTGACTGTTGGGAAATGAAATGGGATACATTGGATTGAATAGCACCAGCATTGGAGTAGGAAAAATGCAGTTTGAATGTCAGCTCTGTTGTTTGCCAACTGAGTGAGCTGGGGTCAATTTTCTAGTGACCTTCATGCCTCAGTTTATTTATTGTCATACCGAAGAGTATAAAACCTACTTTGCAAGATTATGTGAAGAATCAATACCAACATAAAAAGTGGCAGGAACTCTTCCCAACATGCGGTGGCATCCACAAAGGGCAGCAATCGTCACAAATTGTGCTCAGAGGTGATGCGTGCTCTATTAGTGAAACAGTAAAAATATCTATGGTTGAATTTGAAACCATGCTGGGTTTCCTGATAGTCATAGACAATGTAGTTAAAAACTTTATAGTAAAAATGCTCCTAAATCTGGTGCCCAAACCATGAAAGACAAGTACGTATCTATGAAATATCTACACAAAACTAAACCTTCACTATTGCTTGAAGACAGACTGCTAAAATAGCAAAATGAACTGGATTAAAATGAGAAAAGTCCACAAATCCAATGCAGTGTCCCACTGTCTCCCAATGTTACCTCAGCAAGCAAAGGAAGACTAAAGAAAACTGGGCAGGTAAAGACCCAGTGGAATGTGACACTAGCAAACGAGCTTGACGGTGGGATGGAAGACCACCAGAAAGATTCAATTCAAACTTATTCTAAATATATTTAGCTATAAAAAACAATTAGGCCCTGGTATTTGATAGAAAGTGGACAAATATGGAAGATTTATTGCTAAGCAAAGCAAGCCAGACTATGGAAAAGAGGCATTGTATGTCCCCACTTAATATGTACTGAATGTCTGCACTCTGTGGCAGAAACTGAAATATTGGGTGGCATAAAACCATGGGGAGCAACTGTGGATGCTAGAGACGGTGTGGGAGGAGGGTGGAAACAGCGAAGGATAAGAGGGAGAGAATCAAGGAGGAAAAAAATAAAATATATAAGAAACACAAAAAATAAATAACTAAATAATAAATAAATACACTACAAAGCACCGGGCAGCTTGGGGCACACAGAGTACCTGCAGGAGGCAAACTTCAAGGTAGGGGCATGGCTGTTATTTAAGGGGAGGGAGTTTAAAAGGGTAAGCCTAGGGCCAACCTGTGCCCTGGTGATTAAGACAGATGGATTTCACATGGCTGACTGCACAGTTCAACTCTAGACCCAGCAGCTTGAGAAACACACCAGATGTGTGCATGCTTGCCTAAAATTCCAAAAGGGGAAAAGGTTTGTGGCATGACCATTCTCCATGAGGGATGCTTTCTCACTTTCTTTTTTCTCTGTCTCTGGTAAATACATATGCCCTCTGGCAACACTTTCATTTATTTATTTTATTATTTTATTTTATTTTTTGAGAAATATTTTTACTAAAGGGTCGTGCGCTCTCTGGAGAGACAGAGAGTGCAGACAGAAAGCGAGCAATCACTGCTCCAGGAGGATGGCCATGCTGCAATCCCCTATCCTCCACTCTTCCCTCGGGCTTTTGGGCATGCATACACATGCCCCTGGCATAAGATTCAAGACACCAGATCCGAGACTTGAACCACCATCGACTACATGGCGGTCCAGCAACATAACCATTATGCCACCTGCTGGCCCCAAAATTAAAAATAAAAGTAAGACTGATTTAAAAGATGACTCATTTCAATTGACAGTCTTTCAAAAGCGTTAACTTCTGAGGGAGAAAAACAAAGCCAAAGGGAATCTAAATATAAACAATCAAACAAGAAGCACAACATAAAGATACTAAAAGGAAGTATGAGAGAAGTTAAAATTCAGGCCACCGGGTCCAGGACTCAAATCCCGGTGGACTATGTTGGAATCCAGCAGTGTAACCATTGGAAGAGAGGTCTAGAGAACACTGCACTACAACCTGATAGATGGGTTGACTGGGAACAGGCAAGCCATGGCTCTTGCAGGTCCAGTCCTTGCCTGCATGAATGTGCAGTTTACTTATCACAATGAAGTTCCAGCACATTCTTTCTGAGAAAATCCTATCCAAGCATCCTATTCAAATATCTTGGAGAAATATTTATCAAACACTGACCTTACAGGAGTAAGCTGCATCTAAGCTGGTCTGTAACAGTGAACAGGTAGAAAATATCTCTATGATTGAGAAGTTGATCAAAGGATGACTACAAAAAATTTCATTCTAATGAAATCAAGATATTTGAATATATAATAGAATAATTTATCTTCAATTTGGCATCGTGTTTTATTTTATTTTTTATAATATAATTGCATAGAGAAGACCTAAACATCTAAGCAATGCTAGAACCTTGGAAAGAAAAGGAAAGTATTTTAACATTGGTGAATACTATCAGCAGCACAGGGAGGGTTCTATATAGTATTAGGTCAATAAAAATTTTGATGTTATTATTGTCACTAATGATTAAAGTTTTACTTATATTGCCTTAAAGTAGAAGTAGCAAACTTTATTCAAATAAAGGGCCAGCTAGTAAACATTTTAGGTTCTGTGAGCAATTCGGTCATTCAAACACAAAAGAAGATATAAATAATAGGTAAACTTCCAGGGGGGCATAGTCATGATCACACCTTTCCCTTCACTTCTCTGTCCTGTTGGATTTGGGGCACACATGCACATGTACCTGGCATGTTTTCCAAGCCACCAGGGCCAGGTTTGAAACTATATTGGCCGTGTCGGATCTGGCTCCCTTAACCAGTAAGCTATGGGGCTGTCCTAGCCAAGTTCTCATAAAATTTTGTTTACAATAACTGACAACAGGCCAAATTAGGCCCATAGCTTGCTGATTGATGTCTTAAAATGTTTTAGACAATATTGAAAATATTAAATATTTAGTTAGGACTCAGCTTGGCTCATTAAAGAACACATTATCACATCATTTTAAGTTCATTAGAAAGTTTCCTTTTATTCTTTCTTTTGGAAAAGCTGTAACAGTCTTTCCTTTTAAAAAATGAAATATCCATGTACTGAACAATTATCAAGTATAATTAATGCATATATCATGAAGAAAGCAAAATTTTACTTAGGCAGATATTCCTAAGAAATAGTCTAATATTCTTAGGAAAAATTCTCAAGAAAATTATGGGCAAAAAAGTTACAGAAGTTCATAAAAAGTAGTGAAAACTCTAGATTTGGCTTAGCAGTGAGGTCATCACATAAGGGAAGATTTGCATGGAGGAGATGGCCTAAGGCTTGGAACACATCGTCTTGACACCCACAGTTTCTCTTTTTACATAACCTGTTATATCCTGGGATACAGATATTAAAGAAGCAACTGGAAATGGATTGAGAGAAGAAAAATGAAGTGATAAATACAGTATGAGATCTCAAGTAGTTGTTCAATGGAGGAGTCTATATCCACCTCTTATTGCCCTTCATAGTCTTTAGTTTTATTTTTCATATACTAATTTTACATTTCTCAGTTTTACAGGCATAAAAAAATTAATCTTTGAAATAAATAAATAATAAAATGAAAAAATGAATTTTAGTTAAGAACTAACTGTGGGAACCGGCCGCTGGTGTGGGACTTCCACATGGCCAACTGCAGTTCGGTTTATCATCATTTAATTTATTATTATTATTTATTAAATAAAATTAAATAAAAATTAAAAAAAATCAACTGTGGGCCAGGCTCTCTGCCACATCTGCTTTGCAAATTATCTTAACCTTATAAGATAGGTTCAAATATTATCTTCATTTAAAGAAAAGAAAAACTGAGATTTAGAGATAATTAATATAAATTACCTAATGCAGACCAAAAAAGATTTGTGTGGTATTTGTATTGACTAAAGAAATGTTTAGGAAATACTTCTTCATGAATATTTTTGTTTCTTTATTGTCCAAGTTTTCTTAATAGAGATAGAATAGATCCATCAAATGATAAATGGAAGACAAACATGGGTTGGATGTTAGAGATAGCGTGTTACTCCAGAGAGTAAGAATTTTATCCCTCTTGGAGTCGATTATTTATAGTACAAAATAGTAATCTTCTGCACCACACGTCTGAGCCTAAATATCATAAAGATAAGATAGCTCTCTTTCTCTCCTTATGGCTAATACACAAGCTGCTCTATATATGTTTCAAGTCTCACTATTTCATGGTTCTTATCCTGCGATGTACCCTCACGGCATGCCACGGTGAGCAACCAGTAGTTGTTATAGTACCCTGTGGAAACGAGGGCATAAATAACTGACACTAAGATGTTCTGTAAATAATAAATGATCTGTTCTCTGATCAGGAGGAATCTTGTTCCTGCCCCAAAAATGATGTATGCAATGATTTCTCTCTCTCTCCCCCCTCTCTGTATACACACACACACGCACA